GATAATGCATACAATTATTGTACGTAAATTAACTATAGTTAGTTGGCATGTATACCGAGGCACATACAAAAATGCAACCGCCTCAGAACAGAGATCAATGACTACTGATGCGTTCGAGAGCGCGTTAACCGAACGCGGCTCGAAAACAAAAGCATGCGAGCGCGGTAATTGCGTTAAGATTATTAGCGTTCATGCATGTTATCAGCTGTGAAACTTAACGATATTAAAACAATATTAACAATGTGAACACGATACTTATTTCAACTGGTAATATATGTATGTCCCTTATTTTAATTGCTGTGCATACCGCTATAAAAGTTTTTAAATAGAAAATGTTTTTTTCATAACGTTTCCAACATAAGATAATGGCAACAGACAGCACGTCGTCGAGCGGCTTCGCCGGACAATTACATTGACAATCGCTCTTAATATATTTCCTAGAGATATCAATTCTCTCCGGTCGTCACTATATCGATCGATTCTCAAACGATGAACTATTTTATTTAAAGAAAATATACACGGTAACACAAAGCTCATGGATGCTATTTCCGTATGTCATATTTTCAGAATCACAAAAAGTATTACAGTTCACTAAAAAATAAGAAAAAGGGTATTAAACAAATTTACCTATCGTTGCAGTTTTCGTTTCATTTTTTAACAAATAAACAACGTCGCAGAAAATGACATCGAGTACCAACGAAAGTGTGTCATACGATTAGGAATGTATGTTAAAATCGAGAATGATATAAAATAAAAAATAGAAAAATTATTAAACATTGGTAAATTTACCCCGCGGGATAAATTGCCCCGATCTCCCCTATTCTAGCGCACTTCCGGTCCGGGAGCCACGATGCTGATTACCGGGGGGCGCCGAAAAAATATAACTGGAATTGCCATCTTACCATATGTAATGATTACAACAAATAAAATTATAATTATTCCGTATACTAATGAAATCAATTATATATGTATATAATACCATTACAGCTTAGATATGTGCCTGTACAACTTGAAGATGTAATTGGAGAAAATTGTGAAAGACGTGCACGGTCTCAATTTATACTAATTTACGAAAAGAATGCTTCCTAATGGTGAGAAATATGAAAATGTTTGACATGAAGTTCACGTCATAAACGATGTTTATTTATTGATAGTTCAAAATTTGTTCAACTACCAATAAAATAAATTTGTTCCATTGTCAAGAAATAAAACCAAATGGAATACCGGCTCTCACGCATACTCGCTATGAGTGTGGCGGCGACGCACACATACTCAACGCTTCGACCTGTAGCTTGGCGCTTGGCTGGTCGGGACGCGCGAAGATTTTTGGGAGCGATCGCACTCACACAGATTCGCTGCATGTGAGTTCCGTACGTGACACTAGCGCGTGCCCGATGCTCCGCGCTCGTCGCTTCGAAACAACAATGTACTTTAATCTCATTGTTTTCATCTTTCGCCGACTCGTGCGATCCACGTCGTTCACGACTCGCGTATTCGGTGTTTACCGATGTATTGAAATTTTGCTAATTACCATTGTTTGACCGTGAGCCGGAATATTTTCAGAACAAATGTTTTGCAATAAAATTACTAATATAGGGGACAAATATTTCAATTGAAGGTTTTTATCATCCGAGCTCATTAATTCATTCTCAAAATGATTATTGTAATTTAAATATTTGCAATGAATGAGATAACGGTAGCAACATGGATAACTAAATAATAATACTAACGATAAGAAAGATTGATACTGTCATTTTACGGTACGATTTTAATTAATTTCAAATTGCTAAGGGTACAGTCAAAGAGGGCGCCACGAGTGTTCTTCCCTTACCATTAAAAGCGATCAGTGTCGGTAAACGTAGGTAAGCCACCACCGTCAACTGCCGCATGGTATTACCATCACGAGTACGTGAGCCGCCAGCGGCGACTGGTAGATGGCACCGCCATCGCGAGTGCGTGAGCCCCTATTAGAAATTCGTTGCGCCGCCCTTGGGCGCAAAAACGGTGAAAGCTCACGTACAAAACCAGAGGGTTGCACACTATGCGATCGCGCGACCCTGCCCGTGAGCAATCTCCCAACTCATCTCTGTATCTGTTTTAGTCTTTCCTTTGCCTACTCCCGTGTTAAATCGTGTATGGTTTCTAAGCGGGTTTTCTTTCATTTTCTTCAGATGGAACGATCACTCCGGATTTATCATTCTCAGGAATAGGAGATTCTGGATCTGTAGGGCTTATTGAAAGGAAATCTATATCAATGTCGTCTTCGTCGGAAGTCTCGCTATTCCAACTAATTTTGATTGTTCGACCATCTTGGCTGATTTGGGAGAATTGTTCGTGATTTTCTTTAACGGCGTTCACCACCAAAGTGGAGGCGATGACTTCCACCGCTAGATGGCATTAGCATCGAATTCGGTGGTAGGTAACCAAAACGTACTTTCTCGCTCGGATGAGGGAGACGCGACGCACAATAGGCAGTGTTTAGCAACGGGCGAAAAATGTGTGCGTATTTTGCACGTATAGGACTCGCGCAACGGCTAGACGCCTCTGGACTAGGCGCCGAAACGTGTGTGACCCCCGGCCGCCCGCACACGCCAGTTGGACGCGCCGCCTAGAGTCGGCAACGGTTACTAAGAAATGCCCAAATTCCTCGCGAGAAACTCGAAAATCCTGAAAAATGTGCTCCATGGGGACAACGATTTTGAGCGTATTTCTCAACCGATTGAGCTCAACGAGTGCTAGTTTTAAAGATAAAATGTTAACGTGTGTTTATATGGAAGCGATTTTCGATCAAGCACCTCCTTCCTAGTTAAAAGGGCATTCAAATTATGTCGTTGCACTTTTTTATATGAAAATGACCACTTATCGAAAATCGCTTCCCATATAAACACAGGTCAACATTTCATCTTCAATATGAGCACTCGATGAGCTCGATCGGTTTAGAAATACGTTCGGAATCGTTGTCCCCGCGAGGCCCTACAAAATCGCTGGAGTGGTGAGCGCCCTTAATACTTGTTGTTCTCGAGAAAAGTCAGTTATTTCGTCAATGGAGCTATCTATATTAGGATTTGTCTGTGAAATTGTCTGACAGGAGTCATCTTATTTAAGTTCAGAAGGATCCTCGAGAGTTTTCTCAGTGAATAAGGATGGAAACATGCTTTCTTCATTTCAAGAATCGTTATCGTTATCCTTGGCTTCTGTTTCGATAGCGCTGGAACTTGGCTCCCTGTAGGTAACGGGTGCTAATTGTCAATGCGGTCGTGTGGGGGATAAGGTAGCCTGATGTGTGATATGCTGAGATAATTTGTATTCAGGATCTTTATCGGTAGGTAAAATCGGTAAGGAATTGACAGTTGATCGTTTATGGGGATATTTTCTGATTCTACGAATATTTGGTCGAAATTAGATATCGTCTGTGTCAGTATCAGATGAAGAGTCATTGTAATTATGACAAAACTTCGATGGAAAGGATTAACTAGAAAGAGATAGCCGAATTTCTAGACAGAGCGTCTGCGTTCAAATTTGTTTTTTCGGATTTGTATACGACGGGGTATTTGAAGTGCGGTAGTTTTAATTTCCAACGCATCAATCGTGTACTAGGATCTTTCACCGAATGTAGCCATACGAGAGGCCAATGGTCAACTGACCATTGGTATCTGGTAACTACTAAGACGAATTTTTGTCGGTAGAGGTAAGGTCGAAAATGTGCCACTGCGTAGATTATTTCTAGGCATTACTTTTCGGAGGTAGAATAATTTCATTCGGCAGGATTCAATTTTCGAGATGCGTAAGCAATGGACAAGTCTTGCCCAATTTTTTGTTGATTTAATATGGCTCCAACTGCATAGCCGGAAGCATCAGTAGTTACTACAAATGGTTCGTTGAAATTTGGAAATTGAAGAACTGGTTCGATGCATAATTTTTGCTTGAAGTTTTCAAAACTCTCTTGCTGTTTTGATCCCCAAATAAATTTCACGTCTTTCTTCAGTAAATCTGTCATCATCTGTTTGAGTCCGCGATTGTCAAGTTTCGGGGAATCGATTTTTTGATAGCGCTCCCCGGTAACAAGGCTGGAATTGATTGGAATTGAAAATTTTAATTCCACTGAATACCTGATTTTTCCTTTGTCTTTTATTCCACTGACGATACAAGAAAACGAGCGAAATCTTATCCCTATCAATTCACTCCAAAAACTTGAAAGGAACGGAATTGAAAGGAATTCAAAACTACGAGAATAAGAATAGAAGCAAAGGAATTGAAAAATACGAGAACAGGAATAGAAGCAAAGGAATTAACTAATCCGAGAATTGGAATAGAAGCAAATTAATAGAAATTTGAATACTCTTTGTGGGATTGAAACAACTTTTTTATTTACTGAAATTACAGGGATAACTGATCTGATCTCTTTTATTTCTATTTCACTGTATGAGTTCTACTTTCGACCTTATACATCCTGCTAATGTAAAAGGGTCATGTGAGGGAGTCAATCATTCATAAAACTTTTCTGCCAACTCGATGCACCGAATCTTTTGAAATTTGACCACATAAATGTGGAAGCCCTAAAGGAAGTTTCTGACACTATGATATTGTGTAAAAAAAAAATGTTCAGATGTGTATGAACAAATGAAACGAAAATTTTTACTTCATGTATGTCACAACTTTCTTTAGGGCCTCCGTATTTACGTGGTACAGTTTCAAACGATTCTGTACACCCAGTTTGGAAAAAAAATTCATAAACGAAACCTCTTCGATGCTACTTTTTGTTCACTTTAAATTCAAATGAACCCGATAGAATAATACTGAAGGAGAATTATATAAATTTATAGGGGAGAGTTGCTTATATCTTACTACCGCTTAAATCGTATCACTACTGGTCTTCTCGCCGCAGTATTAAAAAACCACTGGTTCAGAAAATGGCGAAAAAACTAATAAGGTTACGATTTAGGCGGTGGCACGATATAGGCTCGCCTTTACTCCGCTCTCCTTTACAGTTTTTGATATTGCTAACATATTTCTGTAAGTATGTCTTCTTCCATCTCGTTGATATTATTTATCTCCTCTAGTGTGTTCGTCTCTTCAAGGATTAATATTTCTTGAAGAGCCTCGGTCTCCTCCACGGTCCCGGTCTCCTCAACTGCTTCTGTCTCCTCCAGCGTCTCCGTCTCCTCAAATGTTTCCGTTTCCTCCAGTGTCTCCATCTCCTCCAATGTTTCCGTCTCCCCAAAGGTTTCCGTTTCCTCAACTTCATTACGATCGGCAGCATTGCCTAAAGGGTGCCTAATTTTTTTCTGCGGTTCTGTAAAGTAAAATTTTTATATCATTAGGAAAGTTTTTTTTTAATCGTATAACATATTATACATTGATAAGGAAAAGTATATTAGAAAGATATGTTTTTTGGCCTAGTGTAGATGCGACAAGAGGAGAAATTAAGACATTGTTTTACAATCTTAGTTCAATAACAAATTATCAAATACTCCAATGTTTAGGTAGGCTCAAAAAGTGGCATTAATTCCTACTGATTTTTTGTGAAGTTTAAATAGCATAACAAGCGCTTGATCGTTCAGTTACTTCTCTGAATAGTACAAATAAATGTACTTACTGTCATATATTTCTTTCAGTTGAGCGATTTTCTTAGTTACGTATCTGTTTGTTTTGTCAGCTTCGTCTTCAGCTTGAAGTGGAGTCATTTTCAATTCTCTAATCAAAAAGTAACGGTACATTTCTGTAATGAAAAGTGAAAAAATGTCACAACACATGCAATACATTAACATGCACGTTTAATACATTACCTTTAACTGCACGTAATTTATTAGGATCTAAAGCTCCTTCTGGTTTTTTGGTCTCCCGATTTCTATTACTACCACGTCCTGTTATTGTACTTGCAGCTAGTACATCGTAACCGAAGACTGCAACCAAAATATTTCGGACGAATTTTTGCTTCGTCGATATCTTCACATTATAACCTGCTAGTACATATGCATCCTTGGAGATCCACACTCCACGTCCTAAATGAATCTGAAATAGAGAAAAAATACTTTAAATACTATACGAAGACAAGAAGATTCAGAACAATCATTAACTTACAATCATAAATAGATATTTCAGTTACCTACCCGGTCTAAACTTTCGTGGCCAATCGGCGCAAATGGTCCTTCTTTATTTTGTTTTTCGAGAGTA